TCCTTTTATATGTCACCTTGTCGGTCACAGGTCAAAATTGTCACATCAAGTGAATCAAGCAGCTCAACAAGTTTTTTGATGTATAATGATAACTGGCCATTCTGAGCTTGCTCCATGATGTCTATTTATCCCTAATAAGTTCTTATGAGGAGTTCTTAATGATAGTGATTTCTCCTAATTTCAATTTTAGATCATTAATGTTGAGCCTGATGAGTTCCTGGAATAAAAGTTAGTGGTTAGCACTGTCAACTATTAATATGACAATAATAATTGACATCTACATTCAACAAAAGTTATAAATATGTGATGTGGGAAGCAGTGGCGGCGATAACAGCCCGCGGGCCCCCCTGCAAGTTTGTTCGCCGGGCCCCTCTCTCCCAATGATCTTTAAAAACATTTTCCCATGTATTACCGCCTAAACTTGCAATTTTGCAATAAACTTGACAAGGCATCTCCCGAGGCGTCATTATCGTCTTCCATGATCGCGGCAAAATCATAAATGAGTGAAAATTTAAAAAACGTATGTTTTCATGACCCTGGCCTTTTACTTCGTAGATACTGAATTTGTAGTGTATTATTATGTGTTTTAATATTTTTTGGGACGGGGGCAACATGTTACAAACATTTATTTGGTTAAAGTCTTAAAATTCACGACCATGACGTGTCCCTAGGGTACATTTTCAAACTTTCACGCTGTTTTAGACTAATTATTCATGCCGAAATATATAAAGCTATATTTTTATGTCATCAATAATAGTTATTAAACTTACAAAAAATGAGCATATTATAATTTTATTGTCATTGCAAACTGACTACCATGACAAAATAAGTCTGTCCCTCGATTTGGCGTCACGACCATTTGGGAAAAATTTGTAACTTTGGAGCACGACAGTGGCAAGCCTGGCGTCGATTGCGTCAGTTCGTTTTAGAGACTAGTTCGGGGTGTACGTTAAGTTTGTTGTGCCAGTCGTTTTGTGTTGAAAGAAGTAGTTACAAGATTAATAAAGGTAAGTTTGTGTTTTTTGTAATTTTGGTGTGTCCATGACCGTACGTAGTCATTTGATGAAGAAGATGTGGTGTTAATTTTTGTTTATAAGATATTTCAATTGCTAGATTAATCTAGAAGTCCACTTTGTATCCTCGAACATGAGGTGCAGGGCTACCGCCAGAACAGAGCCAAATAACACGTAATGTCACGACCAAAGTTTCACGACCATCGCGGGTTTTTCACGACCAATCCAGCCTTATGGATTATAGTGTGTTTGGTCGTGACAATAACTTTAATATCATTGTAAATTGAACAGTTTAGTTCATTTTAAACACATATTTTTATTATAACCAACAGTATAATTGAAGGATTGTTTAGAAAGGTTTAGATTATTTCAGAAAATTTACGACCGTACCGCTTGTCCCTGACCATCACGTTTATGATTTCTATCATAAAAATTTCAAAAAATTAAAATATCGTCATATTTCAATGTTTTATACACAAAAGAAGCACACCTCTATACAAACATAACGATTTTTCGGGTCTCAGGTAAGTTTTTTCGTAGTTATACAAACTTAAAAAGATTTTAATGGCTTTTTTTTCAATTTTTTGTTTTTTTATTTTTTTCTAGAAAGACCAAATATACCAAAAGCTCAGTGACCTTTTTATTGTATAATGGTCATAAAAGTAAATTAGTTTATAGCAAAACATAGTTATAAAAATAATATTAACTATTTTTAATATTTATTTAAACGTCTGTTATGGTCGTGACAGGATTTTGTGTTTTTCCACTAAAATCTACCAAAGATATTGCGTTACCATGGACATTTTATGAAACTTCAAATGTTAATGAAATAAAAAAAAAATAAAAGTTTTGAAAAAAATGGAAAAAATTTGCAAAGTGCTTTTCCTGAAAACGTACGTTTTTAAATTTTCACTCAAATACCTTAAATAAATGTCTAGAGGTTTCCACTAAATATTATTGTTTAATTTATCATACTTTTAAAATTAATTAACAATTAATTGTCTAGAGCAAATAAAAATGAACCACTTTTGTTGGAAAAACCTAGAAGGATGATTCTTTCTTTATTTTTCTCTCCTTAGCAACCAAAATTCAATAAAACTATTTAAAACATCTGTCAGCTGATAGATCTGTCAGCTCACTACAGGACTTTTTTGGGGGAGGTACCCAAAAATCCCCCAGACCCCCCCCCCCGTTCACCCCCCCCCTTGTGACTGTTTTAGATCCGCCACTGGATTATTGTAGACTATTTAAAAATTGACAAAATAAATCTAGGGGTAAATAATAGCGGTAATTGAAATAGATTAATATAAGTTATAGAGTGTAATGATACTTTATTTTTTACAAAATGTTCCACACAGTATTAAGTTCCTAACAAGAAGATTAATATAAACTAATTCATTCATTCAAACGTATTCATTGTCGTGCATTGCGCAATTTGATTTGGTGAAATTGTGGCTCAAGGCCGGACCTTCACAAAAGTTTTTATTTGAAAAAAAAAACCCAGTTATTGTAAAAACCAATGGCCAACTTTATGTTGCTTTTAGATGGGTAAAGAGGCCAGATGATGTTAATAGTACTAGAACCAAATAAAGATCAAGGAATCGACCAAAATGGATACTATACAACAAATGTTTTTTCAGAGAGATTTTGTTATAGAATTCGCATTTTACAATGATGACATTATCTCTATGTATTTTTCTAAGTGAATTTGTCTATATTTAAAGAAATCTATACATATAGATTTAATTAATAGCCATGAAGATTGTTATTGGAAAATGTTCCTTAGTTGTATCATGATTATTTGGTTGTATTATGATTAGAAAGTTTATATTATAAACACACCACATCATGCGGTCTGCACCTTTTGGAATTTCATTGGTCCTACGCTGTGTAATGCAATCTCATTTAAAAGTTAAATTCCTTCATGTTCATCCGATGCTCATTTATTCTTCTTTCATTAATATCGTGCCAAATGTGGCGCCTGTTGTTCTCATTTTGAGGAACAATACCTCTACGTGGAGTATTCCGACATTATACATTATTACTGTGCAAAAGATCCATTGTAAAGTTAAAAGTTTAAAAGTATCAAATTGTTTGTTCAAAAGATTTTACCTAATTTTCACTTTATGTTGTTTACTACTTTACAACAATTTTACAATAACAAAATAATGCACTATCAGGTGTGGTAGTATTTTTTTTTCAATTTTTATAATCACAGCTGCGTTTAAAATTAATAAAAAGACGTAAAATTAGATTCCTATAAATGTGAATTATTTTATTCCATAACAACCTTTTGGTGCATAATTAATAAAAATGAATAGTTTTCCCAAAATTTCATGCTCAGACATTTAAAATGAGACCTTTCCCAGCTTTCTAGGGCCTCCCGTTCGCTCACAATTTCATTGTAAAATTTTGGGCTTATGGAATTAGATATAGATATATATTCTACAAATTATTATTTTATTAATAAAAATATCTGATGTTTCAAAATATATTTATAAACACTTTAAAAATATAATATAGTTTCAAAAATATTTTAAATATATATTTAAAATATTCTCAACACATAATTTTTTTTATATTTAATAGGAAAAATATACATATAAAATATGTAGGCTATGTTATAGATTCTATACTTATTTTATCAATATATTTAATTGATATTTTGCATTGCTTTTTGGTAATATTTTAAATATATATTTGAATATATCAAACTATTATTAAAGATATATTATTTATATATTTTATTTGAGGTTCTATGAAATACAACTTTGAATATATAAAATATTTATAAAATACATTTTTGTGCTACTAGGGATAAGTGTGTTTTTTATTAAAATATCAATAGCTTAATATGATATAAATAAATCCACCAAGTTTGATCAAAATATATCCATTAACAAGCCAACTACAACATTTTACAATATTCTCCATAAGAATAACATGGAAATTTTTAATTACCAATTTTTTTACTTTTCTCCGTAACCATTCACCGTACAAAACCACTTTAGTATACTAAATTATTTGTTATTCTAAGCTCTTTAAAAAGGTCTGGAGAAAACATTATAAATTTGGTGTTTTAAGGGTAAAAAATGAGAAAACCCCATTTTTACCCCATAAAACCCACCGTTAAATCCCGTTCCCATGGTCCGATCATGCTGGTTCGCGAACTCATTCAAGTGTATCCCACCTTACACCTTCAAATCAAATTTTATTAAAATCGGACAAAAATTACTCAAGCTATCATCCGGACGTACACATATAGGCCTATATATATATCTTTAAATAGATATACTGTATATGCACATATATCAAAATTTGAACGAATGGTGTTTTTGGCCTCTGGGGACATCAAAATGAAAAAGTAAATCGGTCCCGGGCTTGGGTCTTACCATGAGACCTACGGTAATAGCTACTTCCCTATAAGGAAATTCGCTAAAAATATTCTTTAGAACTATCAGCTTAGTTTATTAATCTGTGATTTTGCCATTGATTATAGGAAATAAGTACGATTCTATAACCAACGATGTATCCAAATCGAGGCTCTGCCCCCGAGTCTTCATACGAAAGCTTATGAAAATGATTTTTCTGTTCGACTTTTTGAAGAAAGAATAGGAAAATAACAACGTTTCCATGTTTTAATTCATTTAGAAAATTTTTTGTTTACAGTAAATGTTTAACCACATGAACTTTGCAGCTTGAACAACAGCTCGTATTTATGAAGAATCAAAGAATGTAGCAAAGCACGGGTACATCAGCTGGACAGCTGAGCCGAATAAAACCAGTAACTTCATAAAAAACGTTGCACATTTCATATTCTAAAAGTTTTTTAGTTTTTGCTTTTACCCCTAGCCAACCTAAAGTAAAATAGTGATAGTTTTTGTTAAAAAATTAATACAGGGGGAAATTAAAGTAAACGTGCGTTCTCACCTGATTCCCAAAAGATTTTGATAAAAAAAGAGATAAAATAATGACAGCAGGATCAGATATCTAGTTTGAATGTTTAATCGTGTCAAAACAAACTTTTATATCCATTTATCTTTGTTACACAAAGCTATTTAGGTTAAACTTGGATTTAATCCTTAATAACAGTTACTGCAATGAAATAGAACAGTAGTAACTTGGTAAAAGCATTACGATTTTGTTCCTGAGAGAGTAGTTAAAAACTTTTGGTAGAAAGACAGTTAATTTTTCAAATGAAGAATTTCTCCCTTAGATTGACTTCAGTAGTTCCATAATTGGGGTGGGGGGGGGGGATATTGTTGTGCACTTTTTAAGCTTTAACATTGGGACAATGGCATAGACAGTCTTTGAGGAGGGGAACTACTATCACTAGAAATTGTGCGATCAGTGTCGCACCTATCATACTTTATGAACAGTCCTCGTATGTTCCTAATGAGGTAGGTAGACTGCATACAAATGAAAATATTAATGGACTATGAATGCACTTTCATAAAACATTGACTACAAACTTCACTCACTCACTTACTAAATTAGATACTCAATTATCACATAACTCAAGATAAAATAATTGTAAATATTAGATTTAACAACTTATAATGTTTAACTTCAGTACATACAGCAAGTATAACAATAAACACTTCTACTATATATAATAAATAATTATAATAGATAAATAAGTAACATACATTTAATGACGTTATTACTAACTGTAATAAATAGATGGACCTGTTGCTATTAAAAAAATCCTTGGTAAAAAAGTGTTAAGTCAATCTTAGCCACAGTAAATGAAAAAAATTTTAATCTGAACAAGAAAACATATATAAAATAAAAAAATACGAATTATTATCTTATATTAAAAACACAAGATTAATTTATTACCGGTACCTCATCATAAAACCTTTGACTATTAATACAACAACTTCTGTATCCAATAGTCAATGATATAACCATAGATAAAACCTTTAAAACATACTCCTTGGTATAGATTTTCCATCCTTATGGAGCAGCAGACAATAATAACTTGTCCAATAGTTATTGTATAACCAAACAGTGAGGCACAGATCATGAGAAACTATAACCCTAAAATAATAGAATTTTTTTTACAGAATTTATTTCTGGTTCAATGATGACATTATTCACAGAAGCATTAACAAAATAAACAAGAAAATAACAATAATAACATCATGGGTTTGCCCCATGGTGGAAGGAAAAAACATAGGTGTGCTATTCCCGTCATATTCTGACGTCACGTGGATTGCAAACAAAAGATCACCTGATTGTAACTGTCAAATTAGTATGTATTTGTTTTGATTTGGTTGTTATTGTTTTTTTATAAAAACACACATTATAAAAACAATAACAACCAAATCAAAACCAATATGACGGGAATAGCACACCTATGTTTTTTCCTTCCACCATGGGTTTGCCCAGACCTGAGACACCCTGTAACATAATTAATTTAGATAAAAATATTATATCTTCTTTAGGTTTCATTCATCCAATATATCTTGAGGAAGCCTTCGACGTAGCCTCCTGTTCTCAGTTGCTTCGCTAAGATGAAAAGCTAGTGCACCAGGAACATTGTTTAAAGACTTCAGAAATTTGGAGGTGGTTTTTTTTATAAAGGCCGAGATAGACTCCACTCAATTGTAAACAAAACAAGACATCTACAGTACACCGGACAGAACTAACAATAAAATTGGCTATAGCTGTTCCATAAGGATGGGAAATCTACTAAGGAGTATGTTTTAGCTATGATATAACTGAGATAGAAATTGAATAAACTTAATGATAATACAATTAATTAAAAATATTAGAATAACATTTGGACTCTTTTGAATGTAAACTTAACACACCTGAACTAGTTCTTAATCTGGTTCTTATGCATTGAGGAAGCTCACCTACACAAAAAAACTTCAGAACCACAAACATGTTATTTGATTAATAGACATACTGGTACAGATGTAGGTTGTCAGAAACAATAGTCACATAGTTTATCACATTTCAGCCGAGGGAATATTATCCTGTTCCATTAGTACAATTGAGGTGATGACTAAACTCCAGAATTACAAAACTTCCTTGAAGATGAAGTCGAGTCTTCAGAAGTATAAGTTTATATCGTCCAGTATACATCCGAGGAATTGTCAGGACGGCCTTTCCATACAATAGGGATTGAAATTTTGAACCACAAAACTTACTTCAAGATAAATTGACTCTTCAGAAGTAAAATTATACATATTTTATGTATGATAGAATATCTAATTAGCCTTTCCCATACAACAGAGATGTTAACTCCACAACACAACTAACAAACTTCTGTTGAAACTTTAGTCTAATCTGTCAGTACCCCTGAGGAAATGTGAGTGTAGCCTTCTCTGCCTGCTCATGAGGCGAGCCTAACTGTCTCTTGTGGGTTTTGTCAGATAAGGATAGTTTGGCGATGAGCGCCATTGGTGATCCTACTCTCAGCAACACCGCCACCAAGACGACCACAGCCACCAAGATAATGGCAGCAGTGAGAGCTTCTCTGACAAGCTGACGTCGACTCAACAGCACCAAGTGGACTTCCACTTGTGGGTCGTCCTGCCACGACACCCACGTGTGGTTCCACAGGGCAGGGTCAGCCCGAGGATCGCTGGGCTTGTTGTTGGGTGGAACAACTGTTTGACGATATCTGCAAAGAAAATGTTAAATTATTCTTTATCAAATAAAAAGTTCATTGTAATTTTTAACATTTTTTGTATGTTATTCTTTTAATTTATTACCTTTTAAAATGGTGTGATTATTTGTTTGTATTCCTATATTCTGTTTTGTTTATTTCAGCTTAACTTAACCAATCAATAGTTTTATTAATATACTTATAAAGTCAAACGGGGTGAAGCCCGTAGGTAACAACTAGTATCAATAATTATCATTATAGTGCATCAAGAAATAACCACACAATAACTAGGTTCACAGCAGTTGTCTGCTTGCAATATTGAGCGGAGCAAGCATATTAATCAAAACTGTTTAAGTCAATGCTATGTCTGTCATACGTAAATGGGATGTCTACTTACTGTATCCAAAGTCAATGGTCCTTTTGGTTCACATAAATGAGATGTCTATTTGCAGTATCTAAAGTCAATGGTGCATTTAACTCAAGTAAACGAGATGCCTAGTCTACTTGCAGTAAAGTCAATGGTACAATTGGTTCACGTAAATGAGATGTCTACTTGCAGTATCTAAAGTCAATGGTCTTTCGGTTCTTATAAATTAAATGTCTACTTGAAGTATCTAATGTCAATGGCACATTTGGTTCAAGTAAATGGAATGTCCTAAAATGTCTACTTGTAATATCAAAAGCCAATGGTTCATAATCCTTATTAGTTATACATTTTGTAGCATAATGCTCAACGGCATCAATCCGATTGTTCTTCCGTTTTGTTCTCTATTTTGTTATGTGCTAGTTTAGATGAATCATTGATAAACATGCACATGTTACAACTTTTGTTTACCTTTTTATTGTTATCTTGCACATACTGTCATGACAACCAATCAACCCATTAGGCTAATGTTAAATTTCTCAAAGTTTAAATTCACATTAGTCCAGTCAATGAATGATTCAAAAGTAGGTGTAGAGTGCGTGAGCAGGTAACTAAGCGATTCCTTCAGAAACTTGTTCAGGGGGCTTAGGGTGTTAACATACCAAAAGTCCTGACTCCTAGGTGGTGAGTCAGGGGGTGGAGGGGGGAAAAAGGGGGGGGAGAGGTATGCATTTTGGGTTTTTTGATTATATCTCGAAAACTATCAACTTTTTGTATACTATAGTAAATTATAAAATTGAAGAAGATTAAATTTTCTACGAGAAAAGTATATAATGTGTTTATTTTGGTTCAACAGATTACAAGTTATAACTTATTTAATTGATATCTTATTAAAATACTCCTTCCATAAGAAATACATGTAAATTAGTATGCGAAATGGGGCGAATCCTATCCGCCCAAAGGAAATATAAATGATATTCTGGAAATCTTGACAAAATTTCCAGTAATTTGACACTTTAATCATGAAATTTTGTCAAAAATTAAAGCGAGGGTGAGCGTTTAAAAATGGGATGATTTAAGGTTTTTTTATATTTCCAATAAAAAAACACCAAAACTCGACATTTTGTTACCTCTCCCTCGCCTTAATTTTGGATCGATTTTAATGATTAAAGTGTCAAATTACTGGAAATTTTGTCAAGATTTCCAGAATATCATTTATATTTCCTTTGGGCGGATAGGATTCGCCCCATTTCGCATACTAATTTACATGTATTTCTTATGGAAGGAGATTTTAATAAGATATCAATTAAATAAGTTATAACTCGTAATCTGTTGAACCAAAATAAACACATTATATACTTTTCTTGTAGAAAATTTAATCTTCTTCAATTTTATAATTTACTATAGTATACAAAAAGTTGATAGTTTTCGAGATATAATCAAAAAACCCAAAATGCGTACCTTTCCCCCCCCTTTTTCCCCCCTCCACCCCCTGGCTCACCACCTAGGAGTCAGGACTTTTGGTATGTTAACACCCTAAGCCCCCTGAACAAGTTTCTGAAGGAATCGCTTAGTTACCTGCTCACGCACTCTACACCTCATTCCTTGACTGGACTACATAGGGAAAAGCCCTGTGGTAAGATTTATACTATTTCAGATTGATACCTTCTCACGGTTGGTTACTATGACTGTGCTAAGTTTTGTGCAGATCACTTCAGCCGTTCAGGCAGAGTACCGTATTTGTAAAAAAAAGCAGGAGTGTAGCATAAGAGCTTAGCTCACTTCGCTTCGCTCCGCTCAATTAGGTATATGGAAAGCTCCTTTGGAAAGGAATTACAACCTTAAAGGGCAATTTATGAAATAATGGATTGTTTTGCGCAAGGGTTCTCATTATGACGAACATTTTAAGTACATGGTTTATGGGGGTGTGACATAGTTTTCTTAAAAGTTCATGGGTCGGTACTTTGGGATTTATATGGATTACTTTGTATTTACTACTTGTGAATTGGTAAAATAAATTACATAGGTATCAAGAAGAGTCCATTATCACCAGGTGCAAATAGTAATTTCTTAATTAATTAGGTATCAATTATTTCTATCGCTCAATATTACTAGGGAACCCAATGGGTTGCATAGTAAGAAGCATAATGTTGAGGAAAACCTGCTGCTTAAATTCAAGTTAATTGCAGTGAGATTATTTGAGTTGTCTGAAAACTTGATGGAAATTGAGTTTAAATATCTCTAATTGCATTTGAAGGTTCACGTACATTTCTATTCTCAGTGTTGACTGATTACTTTGCTAAACATTCTACTTAATTAAAATGAATATGTCTGTAATATTTTGCAACAAAGTTTTTACAGTATGAATTACTGAAAACAATTAGTTGTTCCCTAACCGATTAGAGCCTTATAATCTGTGTGAAGAAAATTAAAGTTGGGTAACTTTATTTCTTTGGGCTGTACCGTAGCTCCTTTCTTCGATTTGAGGCATCCCTCTTGACAAACGCTCTGCCTGTGGGGCAGAGCCCTCAGGAAATTTGTTCATACCAATACTTTTTGGTAAATTTACAGACCCACTCAAGCTTCATTATGCTGTACATGTGCCTATATTTTTACTTGATCAAAAGTCTTAAATTATGACCACAAACTATATGTAGACAAAAGATCTAGTCATTTCAAACAATTACACTTTTTTGCAAAAATTTAACTTTTTGGCAACTACTAATCCGCATACTCTGTTAAGAAGAAAAATATGATCAACAAAAATAGTTTTCAGTTTTCACTGTTTTCAGATAATTCATTAAACATACATAGCCATCAGTATCTCCATATCCGCCAACACTTCGGGCCTAGCCTCCGCGAGGTTTAGCCTCTCACACGGGTCCTCCTTGATGTTGAAGAGGCAAGGAGCCTCGCGAGGCCGGCACTCCACCACAGTAGCTGAGCAGGTCAGCTGAGCCTGCTGCCGTAGTGTCAGCACTGTGTCAGAGTGTAGCAGCATCCAGGCTGAGGCAGGGGTACCAACATATAGTTCAGTTCAAATGACATTTATACCGAATGTTTATAGCTTTGGATAGGATTTATAGTTTTACACAATATGGTGTTAAGTTAAATGGAAATACCAAGTTTAAAACCATAAGGATTTATTAAAACCTCCTTCAGGGAGTTATGTTTGACATAAAATTTGGTCAAAGATGAGGTAAAGTAAATTATTTTTATTTTTGGATAAGTTTTTAATGCAGTAAATGAAAGGAGAAAAGTCAATAGCTCTTTGATGGTTAAAAAGTAAACCCCACCGAGCAATGCTTAGTCCTCTGGTGCTTAAATAATCTGTGAAAACTACCATAACAAGGCCACTCACCTGGGCTGGTAGAGTTCACTTGATGTTTCTCTCTAATCTGTTGCCAAGTGGTGAAGCCTGAAAGAGCTACGGAGGCTCGTGATGTCAACACAGCCTCCACATCATACTTCTGACCTTCAACTCCACGACCAGTCTCTCCGTACCATCCGTCTGCTACACCCTTGTGTACATTACCTACACAACAGCGTAGGGTTTACAAATGAATGCCGGTATCTTAATAACACTTGGCACTTGATATAGCAACTCTGGCACAAGTAAACATAGCACTAAACCATCAAAACATCAAAATACCCAAGCTGCCGCAAACCTGCAGACCAAGTGAATTTTTATTTGCCTGATTTGATTTTAATAAGAAAGTATTAAGTATTTTTATTCAAATATAGCCTATTTCTTTTAACGCATTAGCATTGTTAGTAATAACTATACTCATCTCTCGGTTACAGAGGAGTGTGAGGGAACGGTTACATAGGAGTGTGACGATCGGTAGGGAATGGTTACAGAGGAGTGTGACGGTCGGTAGGGAACGGTTACAGAGGAGTGTGACGGTCGGTAGGGAAAGGTTGCAGAGGAGTGTGACGGTCGGTAGGGAATGGTTACAGAGGAGTGTGACGGTCGGTAGGGAACGGTTACAGAGGAGTGTGACAGTCGGTAGGGAACGGTTACAGAGGAGTGTGACGGTCGGTAGGGAACGGTTACAGAGGATTGTGACAGTCGGTAGAAAACGGTTACAGAGGAGTGTGACGGTTGGTAGGGAACGGTTACAGAGGAGTGTGACAGTCGGTAGGGAACGTTTTAAGTTATCAGATTTATTTCCAAAAAACATTACGTTTAATGAGTACTTAGATTTGCTACTACAGTTAGGTAATAGTGAAATGTTGACAGCTTAGCATGGAATGAATAAATTTGCCAAATGTTATTAAACTATATCCAAAAAAATACAAATAAAACAGTTCACTTATTCTTTAAAAGATTGACGCGAGAATTTTAAATTTACAGTTTTCTCCGTAACTATTTGGCTTATAACAATTCTCGAATATTCTAAATTATTTTTTAAAGTTCTGCAAAATGGTTCACGAATAAATTGTTAAGTTTTATTTTTGTTGGGCCAAATGGGGAAACTAATTTGACTTCTACCTTTGACTGTTCAAGAAGAAATTTTATAGTTAGCTGACCTCCCTAAATAAGGAAATTCACTGATGTACAGTGGATTTTGCAACAATGTCAAATACACAAATCAACATTTGGTAAGAGCTTGGTTCTAAACCGTTATTTGCGTTCTTTCACATTTAGAAGCAGATTTTAGACTACAACTATATCGGTTTATTGAATTTATCTGTTCAGATTGTTATTTAGCAAATTTTCCTATAGGGAAGTAGCTGTTACCGTAGTTGGCACGGTAAGACCTGGAGCGGGGACCAATATACTTTTTCATTTAGATGTCTCTAGAGGCCATAACACAATTTAATCAAATTTTTATATACGAGACGAATAAAATATAATATAAATCCGTGAACGCCAAAACTTAAGTATTAATTTTAGTCCTATTTTGATGAAATTTGCCTTGAGTGTTTTTTTACGGCTGTTGGCTAAAGAGAAAATTAAAAAAATGGCAAGTTTGAAATTCCTATTTTATTCTTATGGAGAATGAGTAAACTGTGGTAGTTTGCTTGTTTATGGATACATTTGATCAAACTCGGCAAATTTATTTATTTTATAAAACTTTCTAAGTTAGATTTTACTAAAAACACACATTATTACCCTCCTTAATTTTAGAAACAAACCTAAGTACTTGTTAACCCTAATGTCATTTAAATAGATTTAGTTGAAAATCCAATCCGGCAAATGGAAATTGGCTTAGTCTACAGGTTTTCTGCGGTGGGGGTATTTCAATTTAGATGACATTAATTTATAATCTTCCTTTTTTTATTTCCTATCCTATCTTAGTGGCATTGTTGTGTATAACAAAACCTTTTTTAGAAAATAAGATTTTAAAACTTAAATTCTTACATAGTTGGAAAGGTAAACAAATCTTTAATATAAACAAGAATAAAATGCCCCCGCTGTAGCAAACATGCCGACTTAGCCAATTTCCATTTGCCTGGATTGATTTTTAATTATTAACTAGCTGTTACCCACGGGCTCCACCCCGTTTACTACATAAGTTTAATAAAACTATTAATAAAAGTATTAATAATCGACTGGGAAAGGTTTAAAGAATGCTTTCATGAAAATTGTCTCCTTCCTCGCCAACTAAAAGACAAAACCCAAATAGATGAGGCTATCGATTTGTTTGTCACTTCCATTCGTCTCTCAGTAGAACAAGCAACGGTTCGTCAGTTTAAACCTAACAAATCGTTTTCCTCAATTCCTCAATACATCCTGGTCCCTTATTAATTTGAAGAATAGACATAGAAGATTATGGCAACGCTACAGAACTCCTTCTTTTCGCAGAAGATATAATCAGCTCATTTGACGAGTCCGAATTTTAAGCATTTACTCATTTCGTCCGAATGATGAATTTCAAAACCCTGAATTTTCAGCTCATGTTGCCACAGTTAATTCCTGCCCACTTATCACGGTGGAACGGCCAATTAAATATACTTCTCCATCTGAAATCTCTAACTTCATCAAGTCGCTAAGAATCAAGAAAACTCCTGGACACGACGGAATACCTAACATTATTTTACATAATCTACCACGAAAAGGACTTGCTTTCCTTGCTTCTCTGTTCAATGCCTGTCTCACAAAATCATACTTCCCGCGAATGTGGAAACATTCTCTCATAATTGTCATCCACAAACCTGGAAAACCTACATCGCAAGTAAATAGTTATCGTCCGATTAGCCTCCTCCCCACATTGTCTAAACTGTTTGAAAAAATCATTAAGCAACGCCTAGACTCCTACGTAGATAGTGCTTCCCTAATACCTCCTCATCAGTTTGGTTTTCGCTCCCAACATTCCACGACACATCAACTTTTAAGAGTTTCTGAAGACATCATTAAAGGATTTGAAAGAAAATGTCATACTGTTGCAGTTTTTCTTGATGTAAGTCAGGCCTTTGACCGTGTTTGGCACGATGGTTTGTTGTATAAACTAAGAAAGTTCGGAGTCCCCTCCTACCTACAGAGAATTATTGAAAACTTCCTTGAAGATAGAACGTTTTCAGTTAATATTGATGGCTCCCTATCAACTGCCAGACCAATTCAAGCCGGAGTCCCACAGGGAGCAATTCTCTCGCCTCTATTATATAACATTTACACCTCTGATTTGCCATTGTCAAACCATGTCCAAACAGCCGTGTTTGCTGATGACACCCTCCTCTACTCTACACACCATGACATCGAAGTTGTGGCCAATAACATTCAAATTTCCTTAAACGATTTGGTGGAATGGTTCACAAAATGGAGAATAGCCATAAATCCGACGAAGAGTGAAGCGAAGATTTTTACCCTCCGAAAACCGTTAGATCCTCCAAATTTAGAAATTCTAGGTGAACAGATTGCATGGAACCCTCCTGACCAAGCAATAAAATATTTAGGTGTATACTTCGACCGAAAGTTAAATTGGAAATTTCATATAAATAAAAAATTAAATTTGGCTTATGGCAGATTATCAAAATTGTTTCCTTTAATCAACAAAAAATCATGTATGTCTATGAAGAATGGAAGCCTTTTATACAAAACACTTCTACGTCCACTATTGTTATACGCCTGCCCAGTATGGGGAACTGCTTCATCAAGCTCAATTCGCAAACTGCAAACATTTCAAAATAAAGTTTTAAGGATAGTTCTAAAATGTCCCTGGTATTTTCGAACCCGTCAAATACATTTAGAACTGGGGATAAAACCTATAGAAGACTTTATCAAGAAAGTTACATCAAAATTGTTTACAAAACTTCCATTAACCAGCAGCATTGGATTTTATAACACAGGCCAACCTTCTGAAATCCAGAGACTCCGACTAAAACCCAGATTGCCTCAAGATGTTTTATTATAACCATTTTTTTTGTTTTCATTGATTTGTGTTTCATTGGTGGACAGTGCCTTTACAGTCCGACCCGCTAAAACAGTGACAATAAGTGCCTGAGGGGCTAAGCTGACCTCTATCCATGTTAATGTAATTTATAATGTTATGTTTGTCTTTCTTATATTATACCTAACCTGTATAGCAATGAAATGCTGATCGGTTAATAAAATCTATAAAAAAAAACTAAAAAAAAAACTATTGATTGGTTAAGTTAAGCTGAAATAAACAAAGCAGAATACAGTAATGGTAATACAAACAAATAATAACAGCTGAGGTATTTTTAACATTAGGTAAATGGAAAGTTCCCTTTGGAAAGCAATTACGACCTTATAGGGCAATTTATGAAATAATGGATAATTTTGCGCAAGGTTTCTCGTCATGACGATCATTTTAAGTATATGGTTTATGGGGGTGTGACTTGTAGTTTTCTCAAAAGTTCATGGGTACTTTTGGCTTTATATATAGATCTATTAAATTAACATTTATGTTTAACGAGTACCTAGGTTAGCTGCTGCAGGGAAACTAATAGTGTGTTTTTATTAAAATATCAATAGCTTAGTATGAAATAAATGAAAACGCCACGTTTGATCAAAATGTATCCATAAACAAGCCAACTACAACATATTACCCGGTCTTAGGTCTTACCATGAGACCTACGGTAATAGCTACTTCCCTATAAATTCGCTAAAAAATATCAGCTGATATAACTATAAGAACAGTAATTCAAAACATTCTCCTCAAAATTTAAACAATGTAATCAGCGAGCTAACTAGGTAGTTTTCTTGATCGTTTCGGCCTTTCTAGAGGTTGATTTTCTTGGTAATCACGTTCGGAAATGAAGTTTGGTTAATATAATCGTCATGATCTTGGATATCAATCTCTTGAGTGACATTCAATTTTGGATTGACATTCCATTCTGGATTGATGTTCGGTTCTGGATTGATGTTTGACTCTGGAATGACATTCATTTGATTTGTGATCCATCATCTGTCATCTGTCACCAGTTCAGAATTATCTTTCAGTGTTGGAAGGCATTGGTTTTGCGTTGGAAGACCTATGGTTTTCTAATTGACTTATATCCCAAACTACTCTTGGAGATAGGTACTTGAGGGATACAGTTGACTTACTTCCACCATTGTGTTTTAAC